ACCTCCCGGCTCTGCTCAAAACGAGCGTTGTCACCTCCCGGCTCTGCTCAAAACGAGCGTTGTCACCTCCCGGCTCTGCTCAAAACGAGCCTTGTCACCTCCCGGCGCTGCTCAAAACGAACATTGTCACCTCCCGGCTCTGCTCAAAACGAGCCTTGTCACCTCCCGGCTCTGCTCAAAACGAGCGTTGTCACCTCCCGGCTCTTCTCAAAACGAGCGTTGTCACCTCCCGGCGCTGCTCAAAACGAGCGTTGTCACCTCCCGCCCGTGGCCCGGCCCTGCCCCAGCCCAGAGACCCCCCGGGAGCCTCGTTGGGTGCTCCCAGGGACAGTTGTCGGCGTCATTCCTCACTTTCCCCTTTCCCAACAGGCTGGCTGGAGAAGGAGTGGGAGCCGTCAGCGTCTGTAAGTACCTCCCCCCTCCCTCTCTCCCGACAGACCCCCCAGTTGGGGGTGCGGGGGGGCAGCGGGACCCTAACGCGGCCGTTCCCGGTGTGTTCCCCCCCCCAGCCGTGGTCAGCAGCTCCAGCGGGATGGGATACGGCGGCGGGAGCTGCCTGGGGATGGGCGGAGGGCTCGGGATGGGCGGCGGCGGCGGCGGCGGCTTCTCCGTGAGCGGCGGCGGCTTCGGGGGCGGCAGCGGCGGCGGCTTCGGGGGGCTCAGCTACGGCGGGGGCAGCACCTTCAGCTCCGGCAGCAGCCGAGGCGTGAGCTCCAGCACGGGCGGCAGCGTCAGGATCGTCTCCAAGACCACCACCAGCAAAAAGACCATCAGATAAGGGCGGGGAGCCCCCCGGGGGCGGCGGGAGCGGGTCCCGCCTGCCCCTGCCCTGCGCGTCCAGGGTGTAAATAGCTGCGCTAGACCCTCTCCTTCCTCCGTCCTTCACCTCCGGGCCCGCGGGGGGGGCTCCAGGACCCCCCCTCCGGCACCCGGAGCGCCTTTGGCCGAAGCACCGGTTGTGGCGGGTCCCCGGTGGGGCTTCGCGGACCCCCGGGAGCGCCTCTGTCCTCGGTCTCCCTTTGGATTCGCGCGTCCAAAGGGAAGGGGAAGCGCATCCCTGATCGGGGACGAGGTTTCGTTCGTCCTAAGCCACGTCTGACCACTTCGTGGAGCCACAGCCCCGGGTCCTCGGCGGCAAAAACACCTCCGAGAGGCTCCCAAAGCCTCTGCCCGCGACTCCGGTTACAACCTCCAAAGGTTTTTGTCTGCAACAAGATTTTCCCCCCCCCAGCCCCTCTGTTCTCTCAGGCCCCCGCGGGAAAGGCTTTGCTTGGTGTGTGTTTGGTTTCTAACTCCCCGTCCCCGGGGCTGCAGCCCCTTCACCTCCAGGCCCAACACACGGGAAGGTCCAATAAAGAGCATTTGTCATTTTTAAAGCCTGCTGGGCTTTGGCTTTTCTTCTCTGCCGGCCCGGGGTGCCTGTGCCCCGTCCCTGCTGCAGGGGGGACACTCTGGGGACAGATCCTGGGACGGGATCGGCTCCCTGAGGAAACAAAACTCAGCTTTAGGAGCTGGGCTCTGGGACAAGTTGGGGAAAGTGGGAAGGAGGGGGGGATGAACAACCTGGAATGGTGGAAGGGGGAAAGGAGGATGGGATGAGTTATCTGGGCCTGTGGAAGGGGGAAAGGAGGGTGGGATGAGCAACCAGATCCAGTGGAAGATGGAAAGGAGGGTGGGATGAGCAACTGGGTTCATGGAGGGGGGAAAGGAGGGTGGGATGAGCAGCCTGGAGTGGTGGAAGGGGGAAAGGAGGGTGGGATGAGCAGCCTGGAATGGTGGAAGGTGGGAAGGAGAGTGGGATGAGCAGCCTGGAGTGGTGGAAGGGGAAAAGAGGGTGGGATGAGCAGCCTGGAGTGGTGGAAGGGGAAAGGAGGGTGGGATGAGCAGCCTGGAGTGGTGGAAGGGGAAAGGAGGGTGGGATGAGCAGCCTGGAGTGGTGGAAGGGGGAAAGGAGGGTGGG